ATTWMRWAMRKYTWAGGCTTACTCGTTAACAACACAAAAATGATACTCTCGTTTTGTAAACTATTCGAATACTCCGAGTTTTCAAATTTCGCGCGTAAATTTGATTTCAAGAATTATACCAAAAAAAAGAAAAAGAAAACATTAAAATAAAATAAAATAAAATACATAATTAATTTCAATGAAATCATACAGAAATAACATATAATATTACATTAATACTAATTTATCACTAATTTATCGTATTTTTATATATATATATATATATATATTTAATAAAACGTGTGATAATATGTGTTTGATAAATTGTATCTTACTACTTGAAGAAATATACAGCTAAAACTTCAAAATTGAGATTATTTTGAAACAGTTTATAACGAAGATCTCTACAAAAAAAAAAAAAACATTATTATGTAATATTTGATAAAACATAAAAGAAGAATATTTCATTTAAATGCATATACATAAAATACTTACCACACTTACAAATACAATGTTTTCATCGCTTATATATTTCTTTAGGATTTCTTTTCTTTTTTTTTTTTCACATTTTAAACATCAAATATCGCACGATTATCTTTATTATTATTATTATTATTATTATTATTATTATTATTATCATCATTATCATTAATATTATTATTATTATATTTATTATTATATTTATTAATGAAATCAAAGAATCACTTTCTTACGATTATACTTGCATTTTCTTTTTCCCCCTCCCCAATTTAATGTAACCGCAATTGTCACGTTAAATATTATTCGAAAACGAAAGTGCAACAAAAAAGGAAACGATCAAAATACACATTCAACAATCGTTGAACTCTCAATTCAAATGCAAATGAATTTTTACAAATTGTTACAAAGAAATTTATCATCTTTTAAGTTAAAAGATAAACGCTATAAAACGTGTTTGTCTTTCTTGGCTATGTTATTAAAAATGCAATATTAAATAATAAAATGTTTCTTTTCTTTTGTTTTGTTTTTTTTTTCTTCTTACTTATACGCAGAAAAACTTGAAATTTGTTATTAAATCACTAACATAGTTATTAGTTGAACACTTACAAATAACGACGACGTAGTAGCTTTGGCGCTAAATTTGAATCGTACGAAAAAAAAACAATATTTTCATGAATTACGTTTTCCTCGCACACAACTAATGATAATTTCAATTATACGATTCCCCAAAAATATCTTATCTCGTTTACATAATCCTACCCTATCTGACAAATCAAATCTTCTTACACTTTCCATCCAGGCCACGTAGGTCACCGATGGTCGATGATAATACTCATGCATTTATATGACCAACAGAGATCACTTGGCCTAAATGAAAACCTTGACAAAAGATGCTTGATATTTAATATCTATTTTCATCATTTTTTGTTTTTTTTTTTTTTTTTTTTTTTACTTATATACTTTCCTTTAATGTTAACATACAATAAACATAAGAAATATAAAATAAAAGATATTTGAACTAAAAAGAAGAAGAAGAAAAAGAAGAAGAAAAAAAAAAAGAAATTTACGTTTTTAAACGTTAGGATTTACCATTGATACTTTTTTTCATTT